CACCTCTAACTTACAATGTTGGGCCTGATCTGGTCTTTCAGATCAATCACTTCCTCTGTCAGTCAGAAGAGCTGTCTGTGAACAGGCTGCTCTACATGCATATGTGGATGTTTGACGTTTTTTTGTTTTATTTCATCTGTGCGTGCCTTAGAGGAGACAAGATAAATCTGTGCAATCTAAAAGTGAGTAAAACAATGGCAAGCCAAGTTTTTGTTCTCCTCTAGGCAACTGTACTCAAACAGCAGACGGCTTGTTTGCAGAATGCATCAAGCAACAACCTCTATATTTGCAGAGAAATGTATGCAGGGCCCTCATAGTCGTACACTATTCATTACGCTAAGTGTTAGACTTATTTCATGCTTGCATAATGAAAATTCCAACATCATATAGGTTTCAGTATCCCTGTCTTGAAATCCAACAGGCAATTGGACCAACCCCCCTTTACCATGTATATCTATCTTCTTTGAATTCTCCACAGCCCCTCGTCTTCATCCATTGCATTTCTCCACTCCAATAGTGAAGCATTACTTAGGTCCATATAGGCTCTATTTTCTTTTAAAAACTGCAATGTCAAACCACATATTTCATGGTTGGATACCTTTTTTAATCTGTTTCTCTCTGTCCCTGAGAGTCTTCCCATGCACTCCAAGCATTCCTCCTCCTCAATCGGTTCTCGGTTTCTATTTAAGCTCTAAAGGAAGAGAACAAATTAGTCTGGCTCAGCAGTTCATGATTTCTTATTGTGCATTGTTTGATTATAGTGTGTGAATTTTTGATGGTGTTTCAGTATGTTTGCGTATGCCTCTTGGATTGTAAACTGTACACTAAGACAGCATAGGCACCAGCTGGTGTGCTTAAAAAAGACATTAGGCAGGAAAAAAGGAGAGTACAGTGTTTTTCAACCTTGCTGGCAGATTCATCATCCAACAATGCAGCTGAATATTGGCATGCCAGCCATGTACACATGTGTGTTTCCTATTAATAATATATGAGAGACATGGATTCATTCATGTCCCAGTGTTCAAGCCTTTTTTCTGCTTTCGTCAATGATCACTTCTTTACAGAGGTTTAAGTGGAAAAACTATGAGAAAACTTGATTTTCTGTCAAAGTGGCATCTATTTCCTGTTCAGATCTATATGGACAAATTACATACTGGTGTTTAACTTTGTTGGGTCTGAAAAACCTGAGCTGTTGTGGTGGGCTAGTGGTTAGAGCATTGCGCTTGGGTCCCGGAGGTTCTGAGTTCACTCTAATAGCCTGCCACTGTGGGCCCCTGAGCAAGACTCTTAACCCCAGACTGCTCCCCAGGCACTGAATAGTGGCCCCCTAAGGGAATGGGTCAAATGTAGAGAATAAATGTCTGCATTGTGGGACAACAAAGGGATTTACATTTTGATTTATGATGGAATAAGCCCTGGACAAAAACGGCCCCCCTTTCAGTTAAACCAATGACCCACCTGTTGTTATTGTACCTCTGCTAAGGAGGTTATGTTTTTTCGGTTGGGCCTCTTGGTTGGTTTGTTAGGATTATTTGGGAAAATTCTGAATTTTGGAATTCATTTATTTTATTTTCATTATTTTTATGAAATTTTTACCCGAAGCGCGCCTCATGTCAAGGAAGAATCGACTACATTTTGCTGATGATCCTGACCATAATCCGGATACAGGAATATTTTTAAAGGATTCTTCTACATTGTGAGAAAGGAACAAGTAGTCCCGCCCTAAACCAGAAGGTAGCAGCAGTGACGTTGGACTTAAAAGTCTGAAATAAGAAAAACGACTCGAAAAGCACTCAGAGAGCGTAGATCTCCAACAAGCAGCACATTTTGCACCTAATTTTGACTCATACAAACAGAAAAGTAACACAAGATCTGGATCATTACCCAATTCTTAATAAAAGGATTCTTTGCATGAAGCACACCTCTGGTAAGAATTTCCCGAAAATCTGTTAATAGCTTTTCAATAAATCCTGCTTAAGAAGAACCAGCAAACCAACCAACCAGCCTCTTCTTTGATTAGCAGACTGAGACTTTGAATGAGGCAGTGAACTGCTTGATTCTGCCAAATATCTTTATCTTTTTCAAAATGTATGTATCCAGATTATAATCTGGATGTTGGGTTCATAAATAGGTTTTTTCTTAAGAAGAACTGAAATACAGACTTATCGATACTATTCCTGCAGGAAGGAGAGACAGTTGAACCCCAGACTCAAACATACTGTCTCCCACTGGCCCTCCTCTGCAGAGCGTTTATTAACAGAACATGATGCATGGTTACAAACAGAGTATTGTTCTGACAGAACAATTGATCAGTTCATGAAGACAGAATGCTCCATCAGAATGACAAGGCAGGATGGTCTCCTGACTGAATCATGAGACAGGAGTGGAGCATTCCCTTGAAAAAATGTTTCATAAGCACACATTCATTTTATAATCATAATTGAATAAACCTGACACTGGATCATCACCAAAAATTTATGGATTGTTTTTTTTGGCATGACCTCTGGTAAAAATATTATTTTGTTACCAAACCAACAGACACAACTGAAAACATAAAAACCATGGCACGAAAAAAAACAACTTTATTTTTCGCAGGATTACTTCAAAAGTTATGGACTGATTTTCAGGACATTTCTACCTGAGGTCTGCCTCATGCCAGGGAACAATCCAATAAGTTTTGCTATTGATCCAGATCATGTGTGAGTTTTAGCTATCATTCTAATTTGGCTATAATTTGCTGCTTGGTCTGCACTCTCAGGTCCTTTTTGGTTTTGTAGTTGTTTTATTTTATTTTTGGGAGGGAGCATTTAACTGATAAACCAAAATGTACACTGATCAAAGCTTAGTATAGCTGTACACTAAGTATGGCGTCAGAAAAACAGGTAGAAAGATTCATTAGCTGACCACAGAATCAGTTCAGTTACTGAGGTTTTTTATTTAACAATTACAGTGTGGGTAAATAGACTCAAGAAGACAGAAGCAGAGCAAATTGGTTAACCATTGCATTAAACGAGGTTTTATTTTTTTTTCCTTTGTGCTACATGTGGACATTCTTCATTTTTGGAAATCTACAGTTGGATGTAACTATCACTGCTAGATAAGGACAAAGTGCTTTTAATTTTTCATCTTTATGGCATTTTCCATCAGTTCATTTTTATGTGATTCATGCAACATCTTGGCTTTATTAAGACCAGCATTGGTTCAACATGGATTTTTTCTTTTTTTAAAAGGTGTAAAGAAGATATATTATACATCACTGAGTATTTTTTTTTATTCAGACCACTATTGTTGTTATAAAATACTATAATAAACCAGTTCATGTCCTTTACCTTTCATATTTTAGTATTAAGATGGAACCTGCAATTTATCTTAACAAAGAAAAGATTTACATCAGTTCAATTCTAAAAGGTATATTCAATGTCCTTTTACCCAAGATAAAGTATTCATATAATATTTCCGTTGTCTGAATATAATTTGTTCAGTACAGTTGTGATATTTTTTATGGACTTCAAATGATTGAACTCATTTTGCTGGAAGTAATTGTTTCTGCAGAGATAAAACATACACTATATTGCCAAAAGTATTTGCTCACCCATCCAAATTATTGGAATCAGGTGTTCCAATCACTTCCATGGCCACAGGTGTATAAATTCAAGCACCTAGGCATGCAGACTGTTTTTACAAACATTTGTGAAAGAATGGGTCGCTCTCAGGAGCTCAGTGAATTCCAGCGTGGAACTGTGATAGGATGCCACCTGTGCAACAAATCCAGTCGTGAAATTTCCTCGCTCCTAAATATTCCACAGTCAACTGTCAGCTGTATTATAAGAAAATGGAAGTGTTTGGGAACGACAGCAACTCAGCCACGAAGAGGTAGGCCACGTAAACTGACGGAGCGGGGTCAGCGGATGCTGACGCGCATAGTGCGAAGAGGTCGCCAACTTTCTGCAGAGTCAATCACTACAGACCTCCAAACTTCATGTGGCCTTCAGATTAGCTCAAGAACAGTGCGCAGAGAGCTTCATGGAATGGGTTTCCATGGTCGAGCAGCTGCATCCAAGCCATACATCACCAAGTGCAATGCAAAGCGTCGGATGCGGTGGTGTAAAGCACGCCGCTACTGGACTCTAGAGCAGTGGAGACGCGTTCTCTGGAGTGACGAATCGCGCTTCTCCATCTGGCAATCTGATGGACGGGTCTGGGTTTGGCGGTTGCCAGGAGAACGGTACTTGTCTGACTGCATTGTGCCAAGTGTAAAGTTTGGTGGAGGGGGGATTATGGTGTGAGGTTGTTTTTCAGGAGCTGGGCTTGGCCCCTTAGTTCCAGTGAAAGGAACTCTGAATGCTTCAGCATACCAAGACATTTTGGACAATTCCATGCTCCCAACTTTGTGGGAACAGTTTGGAGCTGGCCCCTTCCTCTTCCAACATGACTGTGCACCAGTGCACAAAGCAAGGTCCATAAAGACATGGATGACAGAGTCTGGTGTGGATGAACTTGACTGGCCTGCACAGAGTCCTGACCTCAACCCGATAGAACACCTTTGGGATGAATTAGAGCGGAGACTGAGAGCCAGGCCTTCTCGTCCAACATCAGTGTGCGACCTCACAAATGCGCTTCTGGAAGAATGGTCAAAAATTCCCATAAACACACTCCTAAACCTTGTGGACAGCCTTCCCAGAAGAGTTGAAGCTGTTCTAGCTGCAAAGGGTGGACCGACGTCATATTGAACCCTATGGATTAGGAACGGGATGTCACTTAAGCTCATATGTGAGTCAAGGCAGGTGAGCAAATACTTTTGGCAATATAGTGTATCTTTTGAAAACCTCACATATAAAAGTAGGATCATAATTGGAAAATACAAATTTTAAGTTTTTCAATCGATGTTGAGAAGTTTGATGTACCATAAACAGACACCTGTTGTTTTTTGTCTCTCTTCAAGTCAGCTCTGAATAAAAAGAAAATTGCTAAATCTTTTTTTTCCCCTTTTTTCTTTACAGAGGCTTCTATTTTATCATATGATGGCAGCATGTATATGAAGGTGGTGATCCCTAACATCATGCACACTGAGGCAGAGGATCTCTCCCTCCGTTTTATGTCTCAGCGGGCCTTCGGCCTGCTCATGGCCGCCACGTCTCGTGAGTCAGCAGACACTCTGCGGCTCGAGCTGGACAGCGGAAGGGTCAAACTGACGGTCAATCTAGGTATCGTATGAGTCGTCACCGCTTGCTCAAGGGGAGCCCTTACTCATTTTTCTATATATATCATACGTTTCTTTCTTTAAAAAAAAAAAAATTAACATGTAATAAACTTTCTTTGTAGACCATTGTTGTAGTTGCATGTTAATGTTTCCGACTTGCCTGATCTGTAAATTCTTCTGCCTTGATGTCTTGACGTCTTTGTTTATTTTTCCTTGTATTGATCTAACACATAACAATGTTAGCCATGTTCTGCTGCCTATCTTTTGAACATTTCATAGATCATTTACTTAAAGTAGATATGCATCTTTATTATTTTTTAAATACATTTCATCATTAAAAGTAATTCAAGTAGAAGCATGGAGATAGTTGTCTGCTATTTATTCAGAAGTAGTTCAGGTAGCATTGTTATCTTGGTGCCTCATTCCTTTTTTTATCATTTATTTATTTTCTTTTCCCTCATGGTAGAAGGTTCACCTTTGGTCTAGCTGGAATCTCCCCGGCCTTGTTCAAAGATGGCACTCATCCCTTCAAAGGCCCAGAGCCTGCGGCCCGTCTGGCAAGCAGCCCGAAGCCACAGCAGCCAGCTCGCCCGCAGATGGTGGCATGAGTGGCCGCACTAAAATCAGTAGAAAGAAACAGCATCTAGCCTAAAACGATTACCATCCAACAGATCAAACAGGTCTGATTCATCCTAGAAGCTACAGCTTTGGAAAAAAATCTGAATGAATTAGTCATCTCTTTCACAAATCTGAACAAGGTTAGGCTACAGAAGCCAGTTTTAAGTAAGACCAGATGCCTTTGATGGCTGTCTAGGCTTTAGAGCGGTGTTGGTGCTGTGTGGCGCGAGGCTGTTTGCTCCCACTTTTCTGTTGCGGTTGACGGCACATGAGTTACACGGTCCCATTGATTTCTACCCACATCAGGATGAACCCAGCTTACTGATCTAATTATAAGTCATAGCTTTTATAAAGCAGCTCATAGGTCTTAAAGTGAAACTGAGTGCAAGTCAAACTTTTTGGGCTCTAGAATTAATTTTTAAAATATGAGTAAAAAAACTAAATTTTAAAAATAGCAATTAGCCATTTAATATTACAGTAGTGGTTCAGCAACATAGGACAGAGACGGAGCCGGCCCTACGTAGAAGCAAGCTAAGCTGCTTAGAGTTAGGTCAGGAGTCCAATAGGGAGCCCCTCAGATCCATTGGCTTCTAAATAAAAACAATATAAGATTTATCTTAAATGTAATGCTTAATATAAAGTCAAGAAGTTTTTTAAACAATTAGAAAAAAAAGTAATATTAAGTAATAAAATCAGTTTATTCCAGTTGCCTGATGGCACAAACAGTCAACCTTGGCCTCTGCTATTCCAGTGCCCCACGAATTAATAAGTAAAACTAAGATAATAAAAAAAAAAAAACAAGCTAGATTTTAATTTTAATTCAACATCAATATTTAAAGAAGCAACAATGCATTGACTGAAACATTATTAGAAAATATATAATAATTGAAAAGATGTGTAACAAGGTCTTATGGCATTACGTCTTGCAATCTTAAAAGGCCTTCAATTTATCATCGTCACATCCAGAAATAGGTGTGAACACTTAAAACTGTACTTCCTATGTCATGTTTTACTTTAAAGTAAGACAGGAAGTAGCTCTTTAACTGTTCAATGGTTCTATAATTTTATCCCCTAATAAACTCCACACTAAAGACTGACATAACTCTGTTACATATGCTAAATTTACATTTGGCAGCAATTTCGGACACTTGTATGGGAGAAAAGTGTGAAAAGTGATTGACTGCAGCTGCGCACCTCTCGGTGGAAATTCAGTATTCAATAGTCAGTCATGACACTGATATGGAAGCACTCAGATATCAATATTTCTTTTTGACTAATTCAGATGCATTTGTGGAAAACTAAAACCAAAGCTTTATCAAAAGTTTGTAACATGAGAGTTCTCTTCTAAGACGGCCATAAAACCAAAATTAGCCAACTGAAATATGCTAACCTTATTCCTAGTTCTTTATAGCAGTTTTCAATGTACAACATGTTTACTCTAAATATGAAAGCATTAAAATTCGAAACTTAGTTTTTCCTTAGTTATTTCATAAATTTCATCTTTACCCTTTTGACCTAAATTCATATATTTGTCTCAAGAGCTGAATATATATTCCGCATGTCTTTAAAAAGATAATTCAAAGGTTAAAACAACTGCAGTAAACCTAAATAAATAAATAAATAAATAAAATACATAGTTTATCAGACATAACAATGTAATTATATAAAACAGCTTTTTTTGTATTGTTGTTTAAAGTAAGATATTTTTCTGACTTTCTTGTGGTATGAGAATCTTTAAAATGCAGGTATATTACAGAGAAAAAAATTAAAAACACTCATAGAAAAGATACACATTCTCAGAAGATGCCTGTAGAAACAAACATAAAAAACTGTTATGTATTGAAACGCTTTTCAACCCAATAAATCAGAGAAACAAACTTACAGATACATTTTATTTAGTGCAATAGTTTAATAAAACACGCAAAACCTGTTCTGTGATCTGGCCATTTTAAATAAAAGTGGGGCCCCTGTTAAGGGCCCTATAGAGTGTTGGACTGGCTCTGGAGATATTTTTTGCTCTGTCTTTAGTTTTTTTAGATTACATTAGATTATTGCTGGAATGATATTGACCAGTTGCAAATTGATGTGGGAGCAAAATGGCCGCTGGCGTCATGTGTCCGTCCCCGGAAGGTGGCTTTCTTTGCTTTTGGATGTCTGCAGCTGTAACCTTGAAGGATGCAATTTCATCTGTCACTTGTTCTCCCCTCCCCATCTAGACTGTGTCAGGATAAACTGTAACACCAGTAAGTTCAACATTCTTCTTCTGCAGCCTTTTTCTCCTTCAGTCAATATTTAATTGTGGTCTGTGCTCTAGGTTTGAAGGCAGGAATGTATGAATGCAGAAGAGGGGGTGGCATTGGGAGCTGATAAGAGGATTTCTCAGTTTAAAAGGGGTGGGGGGGTAGGCAGAGATCAAAGTCTTGTAAATCAGGCTTAATATACTTTCTATATTTTAAACGGGCTTTTTTTCAAATAAAGTAAAGCAGCTAGCATTGAATCTGTTCCTGTATGCCTGCAGCAACTAACTGAACATCTGCACTTTGAACCTTTACTAGGAGTATTGGTTTTACATTTACACATACAGCAAAATACAGGGTTTCAGTTGCCCAATGTGAATACTGTACATATGTAGTACTTAAATTAGCAGCCTTTTACAGATGGTGTTTAACGACATGTTCTTACTTAGAAAGAGAAATTTGTTTCCCCTCACAGTCTTGCAATGTTAGAGAGGAAAAATGAACAGACAGGGGGATTAAGAGTGTTTTCACTGAGACAACACCCTGCAGGAGATTATTTATTATGTTTCCCGCAGAGGATGAATATTCATCATTTATATTGAAGTAACTGGTTAGCTATTAGTCACTTACAGGTGCAGTCAGTATTTATATCTACTCACCATCGACATGAATATTCCTTTTGTACTTTTTATGGTTTATTTGTGCAGTTCATATTTTACTTATGTCACATACAAGGAGACTTTAAAAGGATGATGGATACAGAAATTGGAATTTGTTATGGGTTTTCTATTAATCAACAAGGTGATAAAATGATGCATACAAATGAAAATATATGCCATAATCTCCCTCCAATGTTGAAGGTTATTTGGCTTAGCAAGTTGCAAAGAAACCACATTATTTCCAAAATTTGATCATCGTTCTTTTTGGAAGTTATAAATGTATCTAAAACTGCTTTGCTTTACGCTTCTAGGCATATTTTACTAATTTAAAGCAGGTTTTAGATAAGGCTATTCCTAAAGATTAATGCTAGCCTACTTTAGCCATCCTTAAACCAAGTTCTATCAGGTTGACTCAACTATTTATCCTTAGATCAATCAAAATATGTTAAGCAGTCACAGAACAACTCACCTCATCAAGGCTCAAGCCTGTCAATAAAGGCTGGTTTTCCCTCTCTGCGTCTGTGAGGTGTATTATTTTAGCTTCACTCCCCTCTGTGCTGCTTCAACACAGCCTGATTATTCTGCACTGCTGCACTACTGATGGTGGTCAGAGGGTCCGGTGGCGCCTCGCTTCTGTCAGTGAGCCCCAGGGCAGCTGTGGCTACAATCTAGTTTACCACCATCACTGTGTGAGTGCACGTGCATGAATGGGTGAATGACTGAATGTAGTGTAAAGTGCATTGATCAAGTCTCCTGACTTAAAAAAAACACTGCAAAAAAAAAAAAAAAAAACCTGATATATTTAAAGTAGTTTTTATCAAATTTATTGCATTTGACACTTTGCCAATGGGTCAAGACAATTGCCATTCAAAATGAGAATAAAATAATTGCATTGTCTTATTTCAAGTGCATAATATGTAATTATCTTATTTTAAGAAAAAATACTCATTCCATTGGCAAATCATATCAAATTAAGGATAAATACACATTTAAAAATGTTTTACTCATTTCTAGATAGTTTTTGCAGTATGCAGGCCATTTACCATTTCCTTAGTGTGTAAACTATTGGAGCACTACTGTCTCTGTCAATATAATGGATCTATTTTAATATCACAAAGGACTAAGAGAGGATTTCTACCAAAAAAAGAAAGTTTCTTCAGCATATTTGACTAAACTATGTAGCTACTCCAATCAGATTTCCTAATGGAAAAATGTTACACCATACAAAGGCCCAGTTTTGAGCACAATATTCTGTTAAACTCACAAACCTAAGAACATTTCCAACTGTCAACCACAGTGAAGGCAACAGCATGCTTGGACACTGTTTTCTGAAATATTTAAGTAGAACACAAACTGGATAGAATTGTGACGTAGGACTACTCATAGTTTTTCACCTCAAATCGATAGATATGTGGTTTAGAATCATGCAAAGGCAAAACTTTAACAATAAGTTAAGCAATACAACAATTTATTGTTTCCTATCTCAATATTACTATAATCTTCCCTATAAAAACTAAGTGGTTGCTCTGCAACTTGCTCTGGAAAATGTATCCAAATATAAGGGGAGTCTAATGCATGTATCAGAGTCTGTATGTATAATTTGACTCCATGTTAGTTGAAGATATTCTACAATACATTTCCTGGGTTTTACTTTTGTGTGAAAAAGTTAACATTGACATATAATCCAACATTCTTTCTCCAAATTGGAAAAACAAAACACATTCTTGTGGCTTATTCAAATCCCCAAATTAATATGACTCATGTCCATTATGTTTGTCTGAACTTCTGGCTAGAATATTAAATCACAATAATTGCTTATAGCAAAGATAGAAGCAACCAGCGTACGTTTTTAGTTGGTCCTACTGAATATCACATTGAATCTTCAGACAAAACCAATGACGCGCATAAGTATAGAAAAAGGAAATTAAAATCCTAAATTATGGCGAAGAAAGCTCTACTACCATCATTGCTTATAAAGATTTAAAATCTGCTTCCATTTGAATGCGTCACTTCCAATAATCTAAAGGGAAATGCAACAGCTGCTTCTCTAAGCTTTTAGATGGAGCTGCATTGCCCTCTAGAGGTGTTCAGAGTGTACTGACTTATTCAGACTACAACCCATAATAGGTTATGTTTGGTCTGCACAGAGTTTTAAGATTCTGGTACTATTAAGTAGCTGTATTATTGGTGTTTTAGTGTATTTTAAATCAATATGATGTGATAGAAAACAGAGGGAAATTTTATTAAAGGGGATGCAAGCAAAAGAGAAAGAGTTAGAAATGCTTTAGTTGTTTTTGTGTAACAATAAATCTGATTTTCTCTATTATCAAAAACCAAACCAGAAATCTTTGTTGAATAACTGCAGCTTTAACCCAAACCAAAGCACTTCAGTATTCAGTGATCTTTGTTTTATATTTCTAAACAAAGGAGAAATTAGTTAGTTTTTTGCCCTTTGCCTTCCCCATCCTTCCACTAACTGATCCTCATCTTCAGGCAAGGGACCTGAGGTTCTTTATGCCGGACAAAAGCTCAACGACAATGAGTGGCACTCAGTGCGAGTGATCCGCCGCGGTAAAAACTTCAAACTCATCGTGGACGATGATATGGCTGAAGGTATTTTCATTTCCTTATTTAATCCTGATATGCAAACTTCCATCTATGATCCTCTTTGATTCTGCATTCTCCACTTTTTCATGGAAATTTCATCAAGCAGAAAGTTAAAGTCAAGTTTATGGTTTTCATTTCTGTGATGCATTAAAACTGGATAGTTGATTGAAGGATTTGATAGAATTAAATTTTTTAAATAAATTGACATATTATGTTAAAATGGTAAAGAGGAATTTGGTATCCACTATAATAAGACATGAAAATATAATTACCGGTATATAATAAAGCAGAGCAGTTAATTTATTATCTTTAAAAGCTAATGATAAAACTTTAGGTATAAAACAACTTTAATTTATTGACGCTGCAGATTAAAGCACATATTTCTTCAATTAAAGAGAATATTATTTGAATGCATTCTTTGTATCTGTGAAAATTTTAGCAATTGCTTCATTTTCAAGTCCATTAAAAACTCATTTCTTTCTGTATTACTGAAAAATTAATGTAGCATGTTATTAATGCAGAACATTTGGTCATTTTCATTAGTTCATTGTGTTTGTTATCATTTGAGAAAACCTTGCTTCAATGAAATTATCTTTTAAGAGAAAAAAAATCTAAAAATGCCTGATTATCAGTGTTATAATAGTGGTAATAGATGGAGGGAAGAGTAGCTTTTGGTACCGGACCAAAGAGGAAGTTAGAAAATAACAGTAACATCACATTGTCAAAAAGAAAACAAAGTAGGCACCAAAAAGTGGTACTGAAACTTCTGAATACACTAGTAGCAGACAAATAATGAATCAAGTGTTTTTATGTAAAGGGCCACTCTTGGTCTTTAATGCATAATGCAGATTTTGGTGTTTATTATCAACATCACTGTAAATGGATAGATAAAAGAAGTTGTTTTCCTTATGTTTTTTGTTTTTATTTAATCAAACTTATTTAAGGCATTGTTTGTCACCTATAGACAGCATTACTTTTAAGTTGTTTCACTATTTATAAGCTTTCTCAGAAACATGTTTCTCAGGACATTACACAAGATATTAGGCCAGAGATTGGTACTGGAAATAAATTGGTGTTAGAAAAGGGTTTGCAACATCAAATGAAGAATTATAAAATGAAGTATTTGCATGTAAACACTCCAACAAATCTGAAAGCTCGCCTCCACAATCACTGGCACTCAAAGTGAAGATGTTAACAAAGCTCTTGAAACAAAGAGGAGTGGAGACCCTAAGCCATCATTTTGGTTGTAATTCTCCTACAGTGAACATGATGATTTATTTTTTACTTCTGTTGCCATCTTTCAGACCTTCCATGGTAGTAATATGAGATCTTTAAAGCTGAAGTTTTAAATTTTTTATAGATTTTTTTTTACATTTTTACTGACAGTTTTTTTCATGTAAACTGCCAACATGTGATTGTTGAGGTACATCTACCCTATTTGTTGCCTGTTATATTATCCCTCTAAAGATTATTAATTGGATCCTCAATGATTGGAAGTTATTATTGTTAAAAAAGTTATTTCTTTTAGTGGATTTTGTCACAATAGGAAATTTTGAATTTGGGGGAAGATCAATTATGATAGTTTGAGACAATGATAATTGAAGAATAAGAAAGACTTAACAATATATACAGTATATATCCTTTATTTTTTTTACATACCTATACAACAAGGGCTGTTTGTTCCTGTACAACATTAACTTAGTATTTTTTTTTTCATAAATAAATAAATAAATATATATATATATAAATTTAGAGTTTAGAGTTTTTAGACTTGGTTATAATCGGTACTTAATAATTTTTCTTCTCTTATTTTCCATGGTTTACTCTAACTAGTTTTGCCTTTTTTATACTCAGGTCAGATGGTAGGTGACCACACCCGCCTGGAGTTCAGCAACGTGGAAACAGGCATCTTGACAGAGAAACGCTTTGTTTCTTCAGCACCCTCCCCTTTTATCGGCCACCTACAGGTAATAGGGATAAAGGGCTGTTGCAAAACATTTACAGGACTTTTTTTCTCATTTTGCTTGAATTTGAGCAACATTTGAGCTGTTTTATTAAAGATGAATTCTGGCTGATTTCTCTCCAGAGCCTCAAGTTTAACGGAATGCAGTACATTGACATGTGCAAAAATGGTGACATAGATTTCTGTGAGCTCAACGCACGCTTTGGCATGCGCTTCATCGTCGCTGACCCCGTCACCTTTAAGACCAAAGGGAGCTACCTGGGCCTGGCCACCCTGCAGGCTTACACCACCATGCACCTGTTCTTCCAGTTCAAAACCACCTCACCTGATGGCTTCATTCTCTTTAACAGCGGAGACGGGAATGACTTCATAGCTGTGGAACTGGTCAAAGGGTGAGTGAGATGGAGGAGCTGATGGATTTGTTGATGTTTTGACATTGACATCTGAAATATAACAGGGTTGGCCAAATATAACGTTAAAATATGTCATCATCAACCAGCTACAAAGAATTTTTACTTGTTCATTTTTCCTATAAACTTAGGTGAAAAGAGGGAGATTGATAAACATGGAAATTGCCTTGCAAGTCTAGTCTTCTTTTTGGTTTACAGACAAACCACAATGTATTTTAATAGAATTGTCTGACAGATTGGCAAAATCCACCCAGAAATAAAATATTGTCCCCTAAATATTGTCCCCTTTATGTACTTTAAAATCCATGTACTTTTGAATGCTTTAGTATTTGCAAAAGTTTGTACTTCAATACTTCAACTTGAGTAGATTATTGACAAAGTAACTTTCACCTGTATTTGAGTAATATTTGACTATGTGTATCAATACTTTTACTCATGTTGACTGTTTGGTACTCGGCCCACGACTGAATCTAATTTATCCCTTCATATATCGGGTGGAATATTTGCCGCAACCTTTATCTGCTATGCGGTTGGTCCTGTATGGTCAGAGTGATGTTAGGATTCAGTAAAATAGTTTTTATATATAAGTTGAGAAGGAAACCTTTGGTGTCTAAATCTTCTTCCACATCTGCTGCATCCCTCACATGGCTGTGGCCAACGTTACATAAGACTTTTGGCCTTGTACACAACCAGCTTCAGTGACAGGTTTTAGAAGGCTTGTTCATATATTTTATCACCTGAGCTGTAAAGCTTTGCGGCTTCACCTTAGTTAACTACCTCTCTAACAAATGCACAATTTGCCTGGGTTATCAGTTTAGACATACCTTGTTCGAATCCAGTGTTTTATATCCTCATCCTTCTCTGAACTTCTCCATAATTGTCCTACTGACCTGTCTACAGTGGTCTACAGTGCTCTTCATTATAATGTTTTGTTCACTAATGTTCTCTTTTGATTTACTGAGGCCTTTAAAGATGGACTTTTTGCAAAAACAGGTTGCAAAGGATTTTATTAAAGGTTATGAAATGATGTGTCTGATTTTTATTTGTGAAAAACTTTCTAAACTATATTTTTCTGCCACTCTACACTCTTGTTGGACTATGAAAAGGGTTGTCCATTACACTGAAAATCTCTGTTTATAACTCAACACATTGAAAATGCATTGAAATCTCTGTTTATAACTCAACAAAAGACACTTGCAAGACACTTTAGATCCAAGGGAGTTCTTATTAATTAATATATATTTTACCTCCAGAAAGACAGACTTACCTTTAATTTTTCAAAATGGCCTTGATCAGTAGTTCTGCAGGCTTTCTGAAGTCCTCTCAAAGATTGGCTGCTTTTCCACTCATTTTCAGCCCATCTGCTGCTGTTTATTTCCTGCCAGGTTTATTCACTACGTCTTCGACCTGGGCAACGGGCCCAGCCTGTTGAAGGGAAACAGTGACAACCCGCTGAATGACAACCAGTGGCACAATGTGGTCATCACGCGAGACGCTTCCAACACACACACTCTTAAAGTCGACTCCAAGTCGGTCACCCAAAATGTCAACGGGGCCAAAAACCTCGACCTTAAAGGTACCACACAGGAAAAACATCATCATAAATCAACAGTCCTGTCTCTCATTCTTTCATCATTCCCAGAATATGAAAGTGGAATAACTCCCTCTAATTTTGTGTCCCTTCAGGTGACCTGTTTGTTGGAGGTTTGGGACCCAACATGTACCAGAATCTCCCTAAACTTGTGGTATCCCGGGAGGGCTTCCAGGGCTGCTTGGCATCAGTAGATCTCAACGGGCGCCTGCCAGACATCATCAATGATGCGCTTTTCCGCAGTGGACACATAGAGCGTGGCTGTGAAGGTACAAATCCCTTATTGAAGTATAAAAGTCATAACCTGGTCACACACTAGCTAAGCCCTTAAGTTTTCTGATTTAGGGATGATGTCATTGTCTTCATTATATTTAAATAATCAAAACGTGCTCGATACCAAATTAACCTAAAAGTTGAACAGGACAATACTCTTTCCATGGTTTGATTTAAAAAATATAAACAAATCAAGCATTGTTTATTAAGGTTTCTGTTATATGGACCAAGAGGGCTTTCTGCCCTATAACTTCTGAAAACCCACAAAAATACAAATATTCCTTAGTTTTCACAGTGGAAAAACAGGAATTTTATGTACAATTTATTGAATGATTTATTGAACCTGAACTTGACTGGAACTTGAAATATATCCAACAGGAAGTTAAAGTTAAGTATTTGTAAGTATTTTACCAGTAAGTATTTTACCAGTCAGAATAGAATACACACTTATTGATGTGAATGTGATCTTATGTTTGTTTTTTTATTATTATTATTTCTCCGATTTTCTTGTCACCATCAACTATATTTGGGGATACAGTAATTCTTGCAGAGTATTTGTAAACTATTACAAAATATTCATTTTTATTTAACCAATATTCAGATTGCATATATGAAGAATGTTGAACCTTTTTACTTTAGAAGAAAATCCACAATAAGTAAGTCTATGTTGTGTGATCCATAGATTGATTAGGGATAATCAAAAGCACTAAATTATTATGGCTTTTTATTTTATAATTTTTGCTTGAATTGTATATCACTGTATTTGGTTGGTGTAGTAACTTCTATAACCTCCAGAGGGCAGTAAAAGCTTTAGTTGTGAGCCTAAAGAAATACAATACACCAGAATACAATATACATACATTCAAAGATTCACACAGATTTTTCATCAAATATTAAAGCTCCTCTCCTATTTTGCAAGGTTCCCATATTTTCTGACTGGCAAATGTAAACAAGTTTTCTGACCACTAACAATGCTGCTGCTTGACTAATCCTTTGCTCTTGTTTCCTGTTCTGTTCTGTTCTGTTTTGTTGTTTTCCTTTCTGCACCAACAAAGTTGGTTTCACCAAAGCCGACCTGCAAGGTAGAGGGTTCAACTCCGCCTCTCGAAGGCCAGCTCGCCTGAAAGGTTGCTGTGTGCAATGCATCGTGGGTGTCACCATGGCAATAATGTCTTTCAGGTGCTGCAGTGGGGACTTGCTCTCTTATGGGAAACAATACGAACAAACTGTGGAAAGAAAAAAAAGCTTGCTAGGCAGGCAGGAAAATAATTGCTTCCTATTTTAAATTTGTTGAGTGCCATTTAGAATAGAACACTGTTGTATAGTATTCATACCCCTGGATCTTTTTCACTTTTTGTGATATTGCAACAATATTTACTACAGTTTTTAAATATTTTATGAGACAAAAAAGTAGTACATGGCAAGAAGAAAGAAATAAAAAAAAGGAGAAAGAAACCTAATTAGTTAATTGAAAAACAAACTGCAAATGCTGCAAGAAAGCCACGTGTTGACCACTTAAGGTTTGCTTCTATCTTTAAAGGTAGACACAGAAAACCTGCAAGATAGTGCTCTTGTTTTGTTACTATTTGGATAGTTTTGAAGCATCAATTAAATGTTGCAGCATCTATTATGTATATACGTTTTTAAGCTGGGAACATGGATTGATGTAAATCCAGGGGCAACTTTAGAATAAAACTTGTTACAGACTGGTAGAGACTTTATAATAAGGCAGAGATTCATTGTGTTGCAGGATACATCTTCTATGCAAATTAAAGTGAGCCGTACATAAAATCAATGCAGATTCATATGGTAGAATCTCCTACTTAAATTCCAGACCTTAATCCATATGAGAATCTTTGTTATCTTAAATGTAATGCTTTAATTTGATCGAGTTTGAAGATAAATTGTCACGGTTCAGAACAGTAGGACCTAGTATTCAGGCAAGACAGTCGGATTACTCAAAAGGCGTTTATTAAAAACAAACGGATCAGTTGTAGCAGCGGCAAGGGTATCTGAGGCAGGAAACTCTGGAGAGAGGAAAACACAGGTTAGTGACCATATATATCTAACGGAGGAAGATTATGAATGCGAGTCACTAACCTGGTTTACAAGTCCATAGCAAGATAACAAGGCCAACAAGATGCGGTTGGCCCCTCAGAGGTCCAGTAGTCCGATTTGTGTTTTTCAGTTTTGCTTGAGGTTTGAAATTTTTGATATGACAAATTTATGAGAAAGCTTAAGGGGTGTGAGTACCTTAGATAGGGTAAAACTAGATATTAATTTGGCAGATAATTTCTTGTTTATACCTACATGGTCAGACAAAGGGTACAGTCCTATTTAGAAAGTACAGCAATATCAGCATCAATTCTGTAAGCAAGGACTGGAGGCATATCAGGTCATCATGGCAATGTGGGTTCATTATAGCCTGAAACTACTGTACCACAAAAACAGCTGCAAGAATTTTAAAGCAGCTGAAGGCAAGCTGTGACACACTCTAGGGCATCACAGTCAGCATAAAGATGCTGTGGCTGGACATCTAATCTGTCACTGTGCTGTTTCAGCATCAAGCCTTAGATATAAAACTGTATCATATCTGCTGCCAGGGGTCTTTTTTTGTTTCGTTTTTTTCCAAGACAGCGAGTCTCCTGCTCCAACACTGGAATGCACACATTCCATTTGCCTTGATATAAACACAACATATACGTGCACAGCACTCTGGGTGCCTGGTTGACTACCATTGCAGTACATTACACAGTAAATGCACTTTCAGCTGGCGAACTTGCTCTGTTTCTTTTTCACTTAAAATGTCCCTTTCTTCTCTTCACGTCGTCTTGCACAAAACAACTGCTCTTAAACAAAGTTTACTTTCATTTTTTTTGTTGTTTTTTTACTTTTAGCTTGTTTTTTTCTTTTCATTGGGTTTGTTTCCTACTGTATCTGGTTATTAGAGGTATTACTGTCGAGATTCTTCTCTGTTGTCTGCACTGACTATTAATGCCAGATTGTTGATCTCATTATCTATGCAGTGCACTTGTTCTTATCTGCATTCCCTCTCCCTAGAAGTATTCAAAAGTGAGAGCTATGTGTGGTGTGAGGAATAGCAAACACACATCCGGTTTGACTTTGAATACCCTCCTTGATTCTCGTCTGGCTCTGGTGCATACATAGAGATATGTGCCATGTGTTCTTGAGTGCTTTATATTTCTTTTTTTTTTTCTCCTCATGACTTCTGTCTGTCTGGTGGATCTATTGTTCATCTTGTATTCTCACACAGATGTTTAGAAATGCAACCGGTGCCATGTTTATGACATTTTTATATGGCTATTGTTAACCGCAGAGGTTCTTTTTTTTAACTGTTAGCGTCTCGTCTTGCTTGTTCTCAGAGGGAATGCAGCGTTTCGAAGTTTTACTTCAATAAAACTTTCCTGAATCATGTCGGAATGTATAAAAAGTTGCATGCAAGCCTAATGGCTCAATAGCTGATAAAAAAGAATGAAACTAAAGGATATGGACTGTGTCATCACATCTGCCAACCCAGGATCCGGCTTTCTTTAGCAACAACAGCTCTTCATCATTAATTATTTTGCCTGCTTTCAGTCAGTTTTCACTCAACTGACAGTAAAAGCATCGGCTCCTTCAGCTTAAAGAACATGCTGTAGAGACGGTAAAAACCTGGGGCCTTTATATTGATTTTGCACCTATAGACTCCAGCATGAGGCGGTATTCCTGAGACCGTCCTAAAAGGCCCTGTACTCAGGTTGGGCTTCTTGTGGTGGCACTGTCTGATCCTCCTGCTGTCTCCTAGGACCATGTAGTGTAAACCTGTCTTTCGAGAGTGCACATCCTCTGCATGGGTCCTTCTTTCTTTACGGTCAGCTGCCTTAAACATTGCCTGACTTTATACCTGTGGTATCTCTTTTTTTGCTTTTCTCATCTCTCCAGGCCCAAGCACCACCTGCCAGGATGACTCGTGTGCTAACATGGGAGTTTGCATACAGCAGTGGGAGAATTTCACCTGCGATTGCTCCATGACATCATACACAGGCACCCACTGCAACGACCGTGAGTACTGCTGGACTTTTCAAAGGCTTGCTTCCTCAGCATTCTGCTGCAACTATTTAAAGCAACAGTTTTTTAACACTTCAGCAGAAAATGTTGGTATACTTTTATTCAGCAAACTTTCAGAGTAGATCAAATTAGGGATATTTTGATTTTACTGTACTTTAAATTTCTTTCCATATGCAAATAGAATGCATTACTTTCAAACATACAAATCTAGGTAAGCATACCTATTACAGAAAAACTTCAGAACAGGAAGTACGGTTGTCCTCTACCCGAAATGCAGGGTACACTGAAGCTTCATGACTGTTGTTCCTTTGGTAAAATGCAAGCCTTGCCAGATCTTGAGTTAGCTTTGTGAGATCTTCTAAAATCTTTTAGAGTAACTTTCAGAGTTTTTTTTTTTGCATTCTGGATTATTTTTGATAATAAAAATGCCTTAGTTATTCAATAAATTGCAAAAACTACACAACTTTCAGTGTATCTTATCTTAAAATCTGGCAGATCTAACAAATATACATTTGTGAATAAAAAAAGGGTTAAAAGAAGGGGTTTTTTTTCACCAAAAGAAAAGAAGTGTGTTGTAATTCAATTTCTTTAAGTGTCAGGCCTTTAGGCTTCATGCTTGGCGGTGTATATCTGTGGCTGATGATGTGCAAACTACCATCTACTAAATGTCCATCACAGGAGAAGTAAAAAGTGTAGTCGTGTGTGTGTGAGCTGGGATGTCTTATCCCCATGACGACAGGGGACTCCCCTTCGGTAATCATGCTTGGCGGTCTTTCATTTAGCATTTAATGGAGGGGGCACAGTGCTGCTGGGCCCGACTAATGAGGTGGTAGAGGCAGTTAGCAGAGCTGCTATCTGCGAGCGCCAGCATCCGCTAATCATCCAACCTTTCTGATGTCAGAGCTGGCTGCTGGGTTTGACTTTATATCTTTTTTTTTATCTCAGTTTATTGTCTCTTTACCCTCCCTCTCCAATGCTAGTACTTTTTTTTTCCTTCTTTTTTTTTTTTAGATTTCAACACTCGGAAAGTAACTGACTCTAACTCTCACATGGTGTTTAGATTAGAGATGTTTGGGTTTTAATTAGTGACGAGGAGCCTTTATTAATCCACATCATGGTGAATTAATAAAGACTTCATCAGCAGTGAATAGAGTGGTGTTATTAATTTTAGATCTGCTAAGATATCCAGACTTATATCTGTTTGAAATACAGTACAGGTGTTGTAACACTGATAAAGAAAAAAAAATAAAAAAACAGTTATTTCCTATTTTTTATGACATTCTAGCTATAGGTCTCAAATGATCCTTCTCTTTTCAAGGAGTTAGATGTTGGACTATCAAATCATATATCGGTATATTGAATAGATTCTTAGATATTGACATAGAGACAAGCAAACCTTACTAGAGGAAAAGTCAAGACTATAGGAGTGGTTCGCATTTAAATTAAGTCCTACATTTACCTGAGCTGATTAATCCTGGATTGTACAGTACCAGCCCCCTAATGCAGCAATGGTCTCTGCTTGCAAGCTTTTATTTCACCACCAGGTGGCAGTAAAGACACAAGCAAGCCCACACACTGTGCCTACACGCTGAGCAAAAATGAGATGCAATTCCCCAAGCATGAAATCAGCTTCGCATTTCTTTTCCTGTACTGTCGTTGTCTCGTGTTGCTCTCTCTATTTTATGTATACCCCCCCACCCCACCAGCTCTATAAATGCATTACCTTTTCAACAATTATACTTGATGATTATTAAAAAAAAGGAGCAATTTCTTGCATGATGCAAACTCCAATGTCTGTCTTATTGCCAACAGTTTTACTGCCCCGGTGAAGTAGCTAGATTTGAAAAAAAAAAAAGGTGTGTGCTCAGTGCAGCTGGGTGACTTATTTAATGCTGCAAGCGCAGGGCTGAGGGAGAGTTTCTAATTAACAATGTGGAAATGGAGCTCCTGCCTCTGTATCTCTCGGCCTTTCTCTCTCTGATAGCTGGCAGCAAATATTAGTAATTGTCTCCCTCTCTAACTCAGTCATTGTCCAAATGAAGGAACTTGAATAAGGAAAAGTGAACTCATCTGCAAGAGACGCTGCTCGAAGTTTCATTTCTGCCCATTGTTAGCACTGAGCCTTTGTAGCTAACAGGTCTGTGGGAGTAGGGGATGTAAAAAGCACCTCAGCAGGTTCCAGGTCGTCTATTCAGCCTTGATTTGTTCTTGTGGACCTCTGCAGCCCGCACGTTGGACTGCACTCTCCAAGACACAAAGAATATTAGAAGGGATCTCTGCAGCAAACATGGCCATTTTGGGCGCCGCTCACAGCGTCTTGAGCACGCTGCGACTCTGTGCTGCAATAAAATTGGGAGGGGGGCGTAAACAGCATTTCTATCCCATTTGATTCTGGCTCAGTGTCATCCTCATTTTCCCCTCTTTTTCCGTCCTTATCTTTATGATTACTTCTCCCACTCCCCTGACAGGTTTCGTTAATGCCACCGAGATTTATTTTAACTGCAAGGACATCAAAGCTTTGGGCCACTTGGACACTCCAAATCTAGAACAATTACCCGGCTTGCGTAATAGAATTATCTCTGTAAAGGTCACTGAGTCATGTGCGTGGTAAACAGAACGACAAAGCGGGGAGGGGAAAGGGAGGTGGGCCGGCGGCAGACAGAACCCTGCTCTCTGGTTTGATGCTGACATTGGTAATTGCACAGATAGATTTTTGGAACTGAATGAATTTCTCTGTCAGCACGATTCCAGCAGCAACCCTCTGCTCCTGCTTAACCCAACAGCCGTGATTTATTTTTCAAGGCGTGCTCAGAGGGCTGTAACCATATCTGACTAACTGCTTACATAAATGACAACACAGCAGCAGCATTGCTCCTTTCACTGTTAGGGAAGATATTCACAGTGTCCGCCTCATACTCATTTTGTGTCATGTAGCAAAAAAACATGGGAAAACAAAGGAGAAAGAGAAGTGGTCAGGCCATGTTTTGTTTGGGGCAGACAATGCCAGATAATTCCATCAACATTCCCAATGTGGCTGCTTCACAGCTTTAAACCAGAAGCATAAAACCAGGCAGCAGCACAACTCCAATAATCAGTCTGGCATGACGTCAGGGTGGGGTGAAGGTTTTTAAGGATAAACAAACCATAAATGCACACCCATCCAAACATGTACACACTCCCTGTGTGAATATGGAGAGGAGACCTTATTAATATTGGAGGAATTTTCATTGAAGCAGTGAATAATTTAGCCGGCTGTCTCCATAACAGGGACATAGAGCTGGCTGGAACTGGCTCAGCAGGTTTTGAGCTGAGGTTAGTTTGGCCGCAGAGAACCCGGCCGTCTTTTATCCTGGCTGTGTTTCACCTGGACACAGAAGTGTTACTTTTTCCGCTCTGTAAAAAAAAAAAAAAAAAAAAAAACATTTTGCTATTTTTTTTAAGTAGTAGGGGCAATTACCAAGTTCTATGAGGTTGTAAAATAAGTTTAGTGGGGCTTGCTGCTGAATCTGATCACATTTTGTCAAGAGAGCACTAATAAATTGAAAATGTTGATAAAAATATTAAAGTAAGATCAAAAATGGACCACAAGTGTTCTGTCCTGGATGTTTATCCTTAAGGAACAACTTATACTGATACAATAGTTCCTAGGATATAATCTGTAGTCTGAGTCTGGCATATATTTTTATCACAAAATTTATAAAGTGATAAAAGCATTAAAAAAAGTTTTGTATTTTAAAGAGTATACATTTTATAATTAGGTTTTAATTATTCTCTCCTTGTTAAGTTCAAATACTCTATTATACTATTATTTATACATACTTTTATCAATGTTGCATTTCTTAAAACATCCAGAGCGGTAGTGCAAGGTTAGGCACTGAGGGTTTAGATTCTGTTTATGAATTAAGCAGACCCTTTTATCCAAAGTGACACAGTTAGTGTAAAAGGATCTTGCCTTAGGACCCACACTGGCAGCTCATCCCCCCCCCCCCCCCCCAGAGGGGAATCGAACCGGGGCCTCCTGTGTGCAAGTCAGGTGACTAACCACTTTAGCCTGCCAGCTCACTCAAAATTAGATTTAATCTAGATTCTTCCAAGCTGTTTTGGGACTAAAAGGTGTGCATTTGGGGAGGTTAATAATCTGTAGTGTAGTCCAAGGGATTTTAATAGAAAGTGAGATGGCTAGTGGTGTGGTTGTTTTATATAATATTTTATGAACACTGTCAGGGTTTGGTTGAGGTTTGGAAGACCCAAATGCAGAGGCAGAGAGGCTGAGGCGATTTCTTGCAGTTTAATGGGGCAAAAACAGTAAACAAAGGCAGGAATGCAAAAATCCAACTAATAATCAAAAGCAAACCAGAACTATGGAGACATCTGGGGAAACCAAACATGGGGAGCCAGGGAGAGACGAGGTAGGTGGACAACAGCATGAGAGGACAGCAAAGACAAGGGAGAGGGAGAGCATATATAGCTGACAGAGACAAAGGGAGGGCTAACGAGCTGACAAGGAGCAGGTGTGAGAGGAGACAACGAGGGAGCCAAGGGGAAAGGAACATACATACACAAAAGGGCAACAGAGGACAACAGAAAAACATGAGAACTAACATAAATCGAGAAATTACAACAAAATTGGAATTAAGCCAATAAAACTAGAAAACAAGGAGCAAAGTAAAGAACAACAGAACCAAGACCATGACAAACACATGAAGGTTAGTTTCACTGAATAGATTTTTATTAGAGCACCAATGGTTACTGTACTCATCCTTTTGAAACATGCATCATATTTGTTGCACCAGGGGGCTTAACAACTTTAAAAAAAGGTTAATTTTGGTAAATATTGTAAAAACATGAAAAATAAATACCTAAAACTACAGCCCTGGTACTGGTCTGCTTTGGTTTTATTCCGAAAACAAACACCTAATAATGAATAACATGGCCATTATTTAATTAGCTAACATAATTGCAATCCAAGGAATTGTTAGCAATAATCATTTTAT